GAAGCGACGGCGTCGACGGCGGCGCACTCCGCCTTTCGGGCATCGAGGTTCGAGGACTTCGGTTTCAATCGTGCATGGAAGATTCAGGACTGAGGATTGAGCCTTTTGCAGTCGTGGCTCCTTTCTCGGTATCGGCTTCGCGGTCGTTTTTGGTGGCCCGCGGCCATCGACATCGATGAACGACTGCCCCCGGAGAAGGGTTTGGAACTCTGGGGCCCGCGGATTGAGCAAGTCGCGCCGACGGATGTCGGGGTGCGCCGCCGCTGCTGTAGCCGCGGTGCGCTGTGATTCTTTGTTTGTTCGAGGTTCGAGGTTCGAGTTCTTGTTGTTGAGTTGTTATGTCTAAACAATGATTTGTTGATCCTCCCCCTCTGGTGCACCTTGTGCTTTTCAATTCAAGTGAGTGCTTCGCCTGGGGCTCTCTTTTTTATTATATGTATATAGAAATACAAGTGAGGGAAGGTCTTTCTCCTCAGACTGCTCCCCTGGCCCCTCGACCAGCAACAACAACGCCACCACCAACACCAGCAACATCTGCAACAACAGCAGCAGCAGCAGCAGCAGCAGCACCACCACCACCACCACCACCACCAACAACAACAACAACGGCTCCCGCTTGATCTTTCTTCACATGTTATTCCAAACTCGCGCTCGCGCGCAGGGCTTCCTCACAGTTTGTACAGGAATCGCGCTCTCGCGTGAGATTTCTTCGCAGTTAGTTCAGACGCCGCGCTCTCGACGCTCAGGAACGGCGCTCTTGCTCTTGTTTTTCTTACGATTTACTTGGGGATCGCGACATCGCTCGAGACTTCCTTGCGATTCATGCAGTGCTCACGCTTCAGCAGCCCGCCTGCTCGACCTGCCCGCCTGGGCCCGCCTTTCCGACTTGCCCGCTAGGGTCTAACCCGCCCGATGGGCCCGTCTGCTTCTGCCACATACTTTCTGCTCCTAGCCCACCTCCTCATAATCCCGTGCTCCATCCGTCTCCCTCCCCCTTCCATCCGTCCTCTCTTCCCCTGTTTCAAGGGCTGCGCCAATTACGCGCGACAGGTGAGGAAGGTATACCCCCAGAGGGAGTACGATCGAAGACGAAGCGGGCGGGTACCGAGAGTTTGTATATACGTGTTGAATGGCACGCGAGCAGGTACGAGCGAACAGTGTTACACTTATGGTTGTTGTGCTGCTGTTGTTGTTGTTATGGGCGCTCTGGGCAGCATTTGAGCGCGGGGAGAAGTCGCGCGAGCGTCGTGGCCCCTATTGGCTATCTTCTTGCTTGTCTCTAATGCTGCGGGACGGCTATTCACGGCTGAGGCGGATCCCACCCTGCGCGCCGCGAGCGCGCTCTCGTCGCAGGTGAATGGGATTTGTCTCACGCGTGGGCCGCCCCGCTGGCGGGATGCGTTTTTCGCGCGCGTTCGCTTGGCCGCTCCGCCGCCTCTTCTCCCGTCGCAGGTTCCCCCCCCCCCCCCCCCCCTCCTCCCGCGCGCGCGTCGCTTGACCGCTCCGCCGCCTCTCTCTCCCGTCGCAGGTTCTCCCCCCCCCCCCCTCCTCCCGCGCGCGCGTTCGCTTGGCCGCTCCGCCGCCTCTCTCTCCCGTCGCAGGTTCCTCCCCTCGCCCCTCCTCCCGCGCGCGCGTTCGCTTGGCCGCTCCGCCGCCTCTCTCTCCCGTTGCAGGTTCCTCCCCTCCCCTCCTCCCCCCACAGGTCCGCGCGTCTACTTCGTGGAGAGCGCCTACGTCCCTCGTCGGTTTTGCGGCTCGAAGGTCAGTCAGGACGCACTGGGCCGAATGCCGACCCAGTGCGCAGTATGCCTGCGGATGCCGTATGCCGGCCACTTGTCCCCTGCGCTGTACTGCAAGTGCGCGCCGTATGCTGGCCCCTTGTGCGCAGTATGCCTGCGGATGCCGTACGCCGGCAATCGTTCCTCTGTGCAGTATGCCTGCAGTGTGTGCCGTGTGCCGGCCATTGTGCGCAGTATGCCTGCGAATGCCGAATGCCGGCCCTGTACGCAGTATGCCTGCGATTGCTGCCTGTCAGCCCCTCTCCGCAGTATGCCTGCGCGTGCGGCTGTATGCCTGCAAGTGGGCGCCGTATGCCGGCCATTAAGCGCAGTATGCCTGCGAGTGCCGTATGCCGGCCCCCCCCCATAGCGCAGTATGCCTGCGTGCGTTGCAGTATGCCTGCAAGTGTGTGCCGTATGCCGGCCCTTGTACGCAGTGCGCCTGCGGTTGCCGTATGCCGGCCCAGTGCGCAGTATGCCTGCGGATGCTGCCTGTCAGCCCCGGTGCGCAGTATGCCTGCGGCGTGCGTTTGCCTGCCCTCTTGCGCTGGATGCCTGCGGGTTATGTCATGTGCAACCGCCAGCGCGCGATAAGGACGCCGAGGGGGATACGTGCACGGCGCTTTCCGACGCGCGCGCAGCATCCATGGCGCTGGCTCGCTCAGACATCGTTGAGTTGCTTGGCGATCTGCCTGCTGGCGCATTCGGCACCGACAAAAATGCCATCAGGGCGCGCGCGCGCGTCTCCGTGCGTCTACCGCGGGCATGAGCCCACTCGCAGCGGCGCGAAAGGCCGATTGGGTCCTCTTCGGCGCAGCGGCCAACGCGGCGGAGGGGGACGCATCGCCAGCTCCCGAGCTGGTGCTGTGCACCACGGTCGCGCGCCTGATGGCCGAAGCGATCGGGGCGGTCCGCCCGATTGATTACTCGGATGCGGCCATGCGCGATATGTTGTTCGCGGCCCTGAAGCCAGGCGCGAAGCCGTTTGCGGGCGATTCTTCCGCGGAGTGGCGCGATTTCGCGATTAAGCCGTGCCGCATCAATATGGCGCTGCGGACACAGTCGCGAGCGATGGAAGCCTTCGGGCGGAAGGCCCCCGCCCCGTTGGTGCGCGAGGACGCGGGCCGCCGCGCGGCGTGCCGCCAGGAGGGTCAGCAATCGGCCCCGGCGGAGGCGGCCGCCAAGCCCGCGGAGGAGACGACGCGGATTGCGGCGGCAATGGAAGAATACGTGAAGGCCAGCAAGGAATTGCTCGAAGAAAAGCGGGAGAAGCCGCTGGCGTTTGCCATGGGGGCGCGCCGCGTTTTCGCATGCGCGGGCGGCATTGTTCGGGGATACGCGCCTCGGCAGGACCGTGTGCGCGAGGTCTGGCTCGGCAAGTTCCCCCGTGAGGGATTGCCGACCGAGGGGTCGATGCGCAAATTCGCGGCCGCGGGCCGGACGGCCCAGTCCCATGGCCGCTCGTGCATTGGGAGCGCCGAGGGCGAGAGCCTGCAGGCTCCCTGCTCGGCGGCACGTGCAATGACAAGCTTCCGTTTCGCCGATTGCTCCGCGCGCAGGACCACTGCAAGCCCCAATGGGCGCGAATGCCGAAGCTGGACTCGGTGCCAGCGGGGGCGGGCTCGTGGCGCGATCGCGCGTCGGCCGTCACCGCGGCGAACCGCGCGGGTGCGGCCCTGGACCGAATGGATTTTCTCGGTTATGCGCACTTCCAGGTCGCGCGCGACGCAGCGCAGCGCGCGCGCCCACGCGCGCCCCGTGGCGCGAGGCCCACGTAATGGAGTGGGGGCTTCGCTGCATCCTGTCCAAAGTGTTTGATCCCGTCGTGCTATTGGGATACATGTACCAGCTCGCGCGCGTGAGCGAGGAGCACGGGGGCGTCAAGGCGCGTCCGCGGAGCGGCGGGCCCGATGCCCAGGGAGCCGCGCGCGGGAGCCCGCGCCGCGTCCAGGTTTCCTACACGTGCGATTTGCTTCTCCGCCAGAAAGTGGCGAAAGACCTGGAACACGGCGACGAGGATGCGACGGCCTCGTTCACTGCATTGTCGTGGGACATTCTGCGCGCCGCCAAGGAGCGCAGCGCTTTTGAGTGGCCGCCGCCCTGGCATCGTGCATCGCGCTGCGCGCTGTAGGAGAGAGTCCAGCAGTCGGACCGCCAGGCGGCGTTCGCCAAGGGCGGGGGCAAGAAAGGCGGCAACGACCGGCGCGACCAGGCGCGAGCCCGCGCGTGCGCGCCCCGCGAGCGCGAGCACGCGTCGCGGCGCGCGAGGCGGCGAAGCCACGGACCCCGGTGAGCCCTGTCCTCCGCCAGCGCTCGCGCAGCCCCCGCCGCGATACCTTCAGCAAGAAGGGGAGCGGAAAGGCCGGCAAGGGAGGGGCTTCCAAGGACGCGGGGAGCTCGGCACAAGCCTGAGCGAAAGGAGTCCTGGCGGTGGTGAAGCCAGGGCGCCGGCGCTGTGCATGCTAATTATTCGCCCGCCCGAGGCGCGCTCCGCGCGCGCGCGCGCGCGCCCCCCCGCGGGGACGCCGCGCCAGCCAGTGATGCAGACGACGGGGCCTCCCCATTGCACCCTGCCGACAGCGGTGAGGGCGCAGTGTGGCGCGGGCCGTCGCCCGAGGGGCAGGAGGCGCCGCCAGTGCGCCGCGCGCGAGACCGCCCCGCCCGCGGCGAGCGCAGCGCAGGACGCGGATGTTGATTCCGACGACGGCGCCGAAGGCGGGGGCGGCGACCTTTGCCCCCAGCAAATCCACGATGCCGGCTGCGCATTTGAAGAGGCCCTTGCCCGCCACTCTACGGGGGCGGAGCCGCGAAGCGCGCGCGCGCAGATCAAAGCCGCCGTGGATGCGTTGCTCGACGACGAAGACAAGAGGGCGGGAATGGGCCCTCTTTGCCACGCCGCCTGGGCGGCACACTTGCCGCGAGTCCGCGAGATAGCGCCGCTTGCGGGACCCGGGCGCGATGCGGCGGTGGCGGCGAGCCAGACGAGCGACGCGCTCTTGCAAGAGAGGCGCGAGGCGGCGTTGCAATTTTGGCGAGAGCGCAAACGTGTGACGGCTTCAGAATGGAAGGCGCCGCCCGGCACGCCGCTACCGCGAAGCACCGGCGGAGAGCGCGGTCGGGCGAGGCACGCTATGCGAAGTTACCATGGCATGTGCGCTCCGTCCTTGGGCCTGACAAGAACTTGTTGCTTTTGGCCGAAATGATGCAAGCTGCAGGGGTGAC